CACGGGACATTAGTTGATCGTTGCAAAGTGGCATTCTCTTTCATACTCTCCCACCTACTCTGGAACTCGTTGACTGGTGGTCGGGTGGAGAGGAGACGTTCTATAGTTTCGAAGGGCACGCTTCTTCTGTGTCTCGCTAGGCCAGCCACATCCTTAGATGTTTTTTTATCACATGGGACTTTGTTATTAATGTTCGAAAACCATCGATGCACGCACGTATATTACACAAGATGTCATGGTTCCGTTGATTCCAAGTTGTTGTTCTGTTTACAAGACTCTCTCAGTTCCCATATCTCTCTCATTTCCAATATTAAGATGTTTGAATTTGATTGTGCATCATTGGTTTTGGTATAAAGAAATGTCGATACCAAAATAATTCTCAAAGAAATATGATGTTTATATGTATATTCACCAGTATTTTCAAAGAGATTTTCAGTGAAAGTTCAACAATCTTATTTCTTAACTGTTTTAAAAAGTGTGTCCAATAAAATATGTGATTTTATTCCCGATCCCTAGCTGGATTTTGTGGGGTTGTACACTCCCTTATCCTGATAGTGCTCCGGAAAGTAGTAACTAATCATATCCTTCCTTATAACAGATGGCTTTGGAGTACAAGAGTTTCGGTATTGTGTGAAGTTTCGTCCTGTTGTGGAGCTTTGTGATATTTCTCGTACATACTTAATTGATTACTCTCAGAATGTAGTTCTTACATTCTTGGAACTTACATTTAAAAATAAATCCTCGTCATGGAACTATGATCATTGAACATTTATATCTAGTGGATGAATTAGAAATGAAAGTACAAATGTTCAGACATTCTCAGCTGTAAAATAAGATCGTATTGTATGCTGAAAAGCACTAACCTAAATGAGTCACGCTGTGCCTAAGCTGATTTTAATGGCGTTCATTAGTTGAATGTCAATTTTGTACACTAAGGAAATATGACATGATCCTTTTACGGAATTTGCTGTTATTTTACAACTCGCGTTTCCCAGAAAGCTTAATCAATTTTCACGCGTTTTTTGGTGTATCCTTCTATTTTGTATCATTTCCTCAGAGAGACAAATTACAAGGATATGCTAACGCGGTTCACGGTTTGAGTGGCCGTTTTTTCTCCACACACTGACGCCAAACCAAATTGGTGGGCGTGGTTTGTAATTAACACGGAAAAGTGAAGCATATTTATGCAGCGGCGATGGTGAAACGGTTAGCGTACCGGACTGTTGTTGGCGGGTTCAAACATGATCGAAGCCGTGGATTTTTGAGAGCGAAAAAATCCTTCGTACGCCTTCCTTCGGAGGGGAAGTAAAGCCGGCTGTCCCATGTTTGTAGATTTACTTACATGTAAAAGATCCTCAAGCCTAAATGACGTCTCTGAGCTAAATTCAAATCGCCAGTTTCTCGCCCAAGAAATACCTCCTTTCTCTGGTAGTTGGTGAAAGAAGCTTAGCGAAATTTGAGTGGTCAGACGGAAGAGCGGGCCTAATGGCCCGAGTCTCACACGTAAAATAAGGCATTAACTCCTTTCAGTTCAATTCAATTCAATTCAATTCACAGACGTTGGATAACTTGGGCTTGAGCTCTTTCACTCCACTCAGATTGTCATTCTGCCAATTGGAGAATGTTCCCACGTTAGCAATTTATTTATATAGCTAGAATACAAGAAAAATACATTTTATTTTTCCTTGTACATCTTTTTTAAGAAATATATCTTCATGCGTAATTATGCGATTAAAATTTAGTCCAATGCTAGTTTCATTAAAAGCGGCAATGGACAAAGTGGGCTGTTTCAAATTCAGTTTTTATGGTCTTTCACATCCGTTTTATGTCTTCATTCACACGTATACACATTCCAATCTGCTTCCAATATGATTTCATCATTTATTAAAAGTTTTTGGTGGCATATTAGAACAATTAAAATCACTCGTGCAAATTATTTTTAACC